ATACCGTGTTTTATTAATGTAATATCTAGTAATTGTTGAAATTTCAGTGTTTTGTCATTGTTTTTAAGGGTTGGTACAACCTTGATGAGAGATGGCCGCCAAAAACGCGACTCATTTTTTATACAATGAAAACCGAGTGATGCTTTATACGAGTAATAACTTTGCCTTGCTTCCTGAAATGATATGACAAAAAGATGCGTCGTTATGGGTGTTGTTTGATATTATGTTACGAAGCCCCGGGACGAGTTTTTCGCTTTGAAAATGTGGAGGAAATGTTCCGGGCTCGTTACGCCACGCCACTAAGGGGACCTGAACTAATTTTACGATTCCTAAATCTCTGTCGTTCGATTGCCAACGACCGATTGCCAACTTTCTGTCCTCGGGCGTCGAGAAAAATTATTAGAAATTGTCACCGCGTGTTTTCTCTTGGTTCATCGATATTCATACTCAGTGGGTGGAACGGGCACAGAAAGTTTCCAGAGTACGCTACGATTCTCCGTATCGGAACTTTCCCTGTCGATTTAAGTTGACATCCGCCGGAACTCGGAACTCGTAAACTCGAAACTTGGCGAATCGCACGCAACTTTCCCTCGCCGCTTAATTTCGATGAAATCCAGACTGCATCGCGGAACGGAAGAAACGGCCGAGGAGAAAATTTTATGTTTTCAACAATTGACTTTTCACTCTCGGTTTGGCATTTTGATAAATGGCGAAACCCGGTCGTATTATTAAATTCATTTTATTGTTTAACTTCGGATGATCCAGTTGTATAAGTGAACGCTTCGACGTTTATTTCTCTTTGCGAAACTCGCTTTTCCAGATCGTTTATTTTAAACAAGATCCATCTCCATTTGTTCGCTCGCCGGTGAAATTGCTTTTATAAATCTTCATATCTCTACCTGAACTTCCGGTCCTGCTTAATAAACGCTCCAATCCGTTCCTCTTCCGATCGCCCGTTTAATTTATATGCTCCAGGTGTCAGCGAGCCACCGCCTCGCTGTGAAGGAATTGATCGACGACACCTTTATTTTCGAACCGGAAACAGCCTTCCCTCTTTCCCACCTTTTACCACTTACTGGCGACCAATGGAATAAAGACGAGAATCGTCTTAGTTAGTCTCGCAGCGAAATTTAATCTCACTTACGTCGTCCGATTCCCACTTTCATTCGGAAGACAGCCCACGCGAGGGCAAGACGTCGGATAAGAGCATAAACGGTGATCACGGTTTGCGATCCAGTGAAATTAATTGGATATCGAACGCGACATCGACACACGACTGGTCTCACTCCTGTAACGATGATTCCTTTTTTCAATCCTATAACGAAGGGAGAAAGGTTAAATGTGATGAAGTTTGACGCAACCCGTAGCTTCTTCACTCAGAGATTAAATTTTTATTCCCATCAGAATAAAAACTACTGGAAAAGATATCTAATGCAAAAAAAAAAGGACGGATTTTTACAGAAACGCATGGAGAATCATTTTAACATTAAATAAGTTTTCAAATTGCGAAGGAGTCGAGGGGTGCTCGAACAATTTCTGAAGAATCTGTAAAAGGGATCTGCAAGTATTTAGAATTTCCAATGTTTGTTCTGAAATTCTGAAGCGCATCGTTTAAATAACAAACGCTCGGTGAACAGTGCTGAGGCGATGAAGCATTGAACCAGAACCAGAGAACGATATCTTAGAAACTTTATTGTACAAACATATTATTATACAAAGATAAATGGTCGGGGATGATGGAGGGATTCATGAGGAGGACCTTGGGGAGGATATGGACAAGAGAAATCTTGTTTTCTTTGGACAAGTCTGCTGGTTGGCGGTGAACCGCGCCGATTGGAGGAGAGCCAGTGCTCGTGGCTTCCAAACGTTTTTCTGTTTTTCTCCTTTTATTTTCATTATCACGCGTGCCGCGGTTATTTCTGTAATGACCTCTCGACGTGTCCGTCTCCCTTTGTCTCGATTCACAAAAATCTTGAGTCCCAATCTTCAATCCAAGTCTTCACAGAAATAACGTCGGTGTAGATTTTCTTTAAACGATCTCCAATCCGTTTCATCCTTTCGCGACACGCGACGCTCTCTTCGCAATCAGAATCAAGGATGCGGGACGCATGAAGACATTCTTCGCTTGGGTGTAACTCGATTTTCCCTTTAAAACGCGGCTCGGTTGAACTCTTCTGAAGTTTGCGGGAACGCGATGGGGTTTTTTAAACAACGTCTTTCAATGATTATTTTCACATTTGGAGTGTCTCGAGGATGCAGGACGTCTACTCTCCCCGTTCTTGGCCATGTCCAGGATTGATGACGATGATTCCGGGGTGGTTCTAATCGCTGTACTCGATCGTCTCCTCGAACTCCATCGACTGTTGCGACCTGGTCGACGACGCTGAGACAGACTTGATCGACGTCGACGATTCCACCACCGATTTCGTCTGCACGCTCTGTACAGACTTCATCGTTGATACTGACTTCGTCTCGGCAGTGACGTTCATCGACTGCGCTACCAAACTGTCCGCGTTCTCGTTCACTGCTGATCAAATTTACGTGTCACCCTTTCGTTAGCTCAGTCCGTGTTAGAATCATACTTATTGGAAAAAATTATTAAATT